CGAACTTGTATATAACTTTGAAATTCAAGCTTTAGAAGATAACCGAGAAATTTTAAATACTCACATATATTGTCTCACTTTTTGCAAGGAGAAAGATAGGGATGAACTATGTTTACCTTTTTCTATATCTATGAATCATCTTAATATATTTACGTGACTGACTTTAAAGGTCACTAAAGGCATCCCTTAGTGTAGATTTAGTTCGAGAAGCCTACTAAGCTTAACGTTAGATTATATGGTAATAAAATCTCTTTAACAAAGACAAAAATAACTTTATTTAAAACGTTTCCTAATATCCATTTTTGTTAAATGTAAAACAGCGAAATGCCACAAACGTAGCGAAAGCAGATTCGTGAATTAGATTGAATAATTAAAGTACATGGGATGGAATTAGCAGACGTCATTAAGCAACCTTTGTTAAGTAATGTACTTTGTTCTAAGTATTACTTAAGCACTTTAACGTGTTACGTAGAAACAAAAGTAGCAATTGACTCCTAACCTTTTCTATAGACTTATCTACAGATAAATAAGTATAGACTTTACTTTCATCATCAACCTGACCCCACCGAGGGGGCTTGGAGGCTACCCTAACTTAGGGGTGACTAGGTCATAGTCAACCACGCTGGCCCAGTGCGGGTTGATTCCTTTACCGTAAGAACTTCGGATAAATGTGCATATGTAAATTCAAAATCACATTGGTACATGGTGGGATTCGAACCGAGGACCTGCAGATTGCCAGTGGGGCGTGGCGGTGGTAAGTTAACACGATCCCGTGGCGTCCCACATTAAGGCTATGAGGGAACAGAGGGGTTAAGTGAGTATGCTCCCATTCGGGGAGAGAATCCCATATAACTACCGTGCCTTCCCCGAGGAGTATGCCTAAAGCATTCCTCTCTGAAAAAAAAGGACCTGCAGATTGCAAGTCAAGGACTTAACGCCTAAGTCACTGACGCTTCAACTTTAACGTAATTGGTGCATAATAAAAATAATATGCAAATTATTATATCAGTTTAATTTAGGACACAAATAAATTAGCAAGAGGGTCGACAATAATGCATAGATATGTAAATTAATTTAAATATTTAGTAGGAAAGTAAACTATCTAGGTTTTTCTCGCACGTGCGATATACAAAATATATTTTTATATGACAATGTTATTGTATAGAGCAGTGAAGAAGGCAAACGTGTCAACATAGATAACCCTACCAAAGTGGGGAGGTAATCGCCCGCGTAATGTGCGGAGGAGGCTGTTGTGGTAGTTTCATACGAGGGCTGGGGAGTGTGGCAGTGTAGTGTACAGTTCAGTACTGTTATTATTTATTCTCATATATACCGTGGAATTCCACTGCCTTAACATTTATATCTTGCTATACTATATAATACTATGGCCTAATCACACTTAACTTATTGTAGGCTTTGAGCCCCTCGGTGGGGACGTATAGTGAGCTGATGATGAATACCCTAAAGAAAATTTGGATTGAACGTAAGTTAGAAGGTATCTCCAGAACTGTTCAACGGATCTCACTGAAATTTAACACAGATGTAAAGCATAGTCTGGTAAACACATGAGCTACTAGTTTTTGTTATAATTCCGCGCGGACAGAGTCACGTGAATCAGAACAGCTATTTAATACATGTTGTAATCTACTTTTTGTTTAGGGAATGAAGATAGCAACAAGTGATACAAGAGTTATTTAATTTAGTTGTACACAACAGTATCAAATAATATTAGTACTGTTTTATCCTTCTGCTCTGCTCACTACCTTCGTGTGACACAAGCATTATGTTCTGATTGAACTGGTAACCATGCTATTACCGTTTTATACTAGGTGAATAGCTGACACAAAGTGCTTGTATAATGTTTTAACAAGATAAGAAAGCACGGTGATATTGTCACAACTAAAAGGGATATTTATAGGAAACTTAAAGATTTATGTATTGGAACATAAAAGTCAAAACAAAATAGAATGAGTAAATACAAAAAAACTAAAGCATCTAACTTTGGTTAATATCTTTAAGTGACATCTTAATTATTGTGTTGTACTACCCCTGTCATGTACCAATGTGTTTTTATATTTCCGATTTACATATGTACATTTATCCGACGTTCTTACGGTGAAGGAAAACATCGTGATGCAACCTGCACATATCTGAGAAGAAATTCAAAGATATGTGTGAAGTCAACCAACCTGCACTTGGCTAGCGTGGTTGACTATGGCCTAATCACCCTTAACTTAGGTTAGGCTCCGAGTGTGTGAGCGATAGTGAGCTGATGATGATGATGACTGTTTAACCATTTTTAAATAGGTGTTAAGTTTAAATTACTCATATTAAATATACGCTATACATTCTTAGAAGAATCAATAAGAATATTAATAAGAAGTTTCCAGTTAATACGTTTTCTTTGTCTATTAACACAACAAAAATAATAACACGAAGCATCGTCTATTGTGTCAGGCAACAAAACAATTAAAAGTTAATTTATTGTGCTATCGTGACTCGCATAGTTAACGAAATTCAGGCACGAAATAAAAGCAATGCAATAAAAAATAGAATTTAATGAATTCTAATATTAATAATCTTTTTATCAGGTGTAAACAGATTTTAATTTTTACGCTTTTTTGACTAGTCTTATTAATATTATAAATGCGAATGTTTAGATGGATGGATGTTTAAGGTACCTCTAGTTGAACAGATGTTGAAATTTGGACATATAGAACATAGTCTGGAAGAACGCGTAACCTACTAATTATGTTTTTTTTTATTCTATGCGGACTGAGTCGAGGGCGAAGGATTGTAATTTGTATATTAAACATTGTTAGAATTGATATTTTTTTACAATAATTCAGAAGCAATATTGTAGCAATGGACTAACAGTAATCGCCAGATGTCTCTACATGAAGCTGGCAGCGCCGCCAAATGATCGTAAATTGCAATTCCTTGTTCAAATATTTCCATAACAAACACATTGCATAACCTACAACATATTACTTCCAAAATCCAAGATTAAAACATATTGTTGTTTCTTTTTTGTCTAAGATAATGACAGAGGTGATATGTTTTATGCAGAGATTTTGAATTCAGAAACCCACGGTTAGTGAGAATTTTGACTTAACAAGGATGGAGTGATAGAAAGTTCACCGTATTGTTGTTTAGTTCTATGCAGAAATTGTGTTTCACTGCGGAACTATTTAGCAAGGCAAACTAGTTTTGTCTGCGCTCTAAATCTTTGCCAAAGCACCTTAGCGCTACCACTGAACTAAGTTTAAATTCAAATCTTATTAATTTAAATGTTTTATCTTGTTGCATAACGATTTTGGCATGACCCAGATAAATAGTAGCATTATTATAGAGAGTTTCCCTTAACACTTGTATTTTTTGCTTATATCATAAGGTGGCAAACGAGCGAGCAGCCACCTGAAATCGCTGAAATAGCGAAGTGACCGTTGCCCATAGACATACGCAAGTGCATATTCGTTGCCTACCTTTAATCGACGGAAGAGAGGATGCACAGAAAGAAAATATTTTCGAAAAATGGTGGGAAGGGAAATAGGACTAAATTAGGCCTACGGGACGCACACTCATCAGACGAAACGCGGAATTGCTTCCACTTGACGCCTGTCTTCTGTGTGGTCGTGGTATTTCACCGGGCGAGCCGGGACAATTCGTGCGAACATTTTAAAGCGAGCTCTACCATTGTTGTTGTATCAAAACATCTCTATGACTATTTTTGAAAAAACAAGCATATTGTGTTTTTGTATTACTTAGTAACACGAGCAAGCCGCCACCTAATTTCACTAAAATATCGAATATCGATAATAACAAGTTATCGATGCTTTGTCTAACCTAGATAGAGGAGGGAGAGGATATTTCCATTACCTAATCTGTTTCGCCAGTGGAAGCTAACGCTTATAAGCAATATCTTCGGACAAAAAGTTTTCTAACAAAAATCTACAATATAACACGTATGCAAATTACAGTGTCGTCGTAACTGAGTCCAGAGGTTTTTTGCATAGTAATTTACTTTATCCACATGGTAATGTAAACAGGGGTGAGTTGGGGTGAGTTTTTACAAGCGCAGGCTTAACTCGTACTATAACAATAAACATCTAACAAAACGCAAAGGCCTTTAAGGATCAAATGAGTTTTTCTACAGAAAAGAGCTTTAGTAAGGTCGTTGAACTTTATATTTTGTACGATGTTGCACTTATAGTATTAATTATGAACAATAATTTATTTTTGGTTGTATTTTAAATAAGAAATTTTGCAAACATCAAGTTTTATATTTATTACAAAAATCTTATTTAATTTTTTATGAAAATCACTAAAACATATTAAGTACTATGCACAGAGCGAATTTCGGTGATAAAAAAAATAAAAATCATGATGGTGAAAATATCCCCTTTAACTTATAAAGGGATAAAAGCTTCGTAATAAGTATCAAGTCAGTGGAAACCCACTGTAATATAAAGGAATACAACTTTAGTTTATGTAAGTAGCAATATCTTAAATAAATAAAGAGCCGAGTCTAATAACTCGTTTTGTTTTGAAACAATATTTGTTTTTACTAACGCGTTGACTCAAACGGACAAACATTCTATTTATAAACTGAGTAAATTTTGCCAGGAATAGTATTTTATATGAAAATTGAGGATTATTTTAAGATGTGTAATGGATAAGGTCATCACAAAATAATGAAAATAAAAAAAAGAGCGTCGGTGACTCAGTGGTCAACACTTGACTTGCAATCTACGGGTCCTGGGTTCGAATCCCGCCATGTACCAACGTGTTTTTCGATTTCCGATTTACATATGTACATTTATCTTATGTCCTTACGATGAAGGAAAACATCGTGATGCTGCACATATCTGAGAATTCTCGCAAAAAAAAAAGTAGATAGTGGAGGTTCGTTTAGCCGCGTTAAATGGAGGTCTGTGGTCTCTACCTACCCCTCTGGGTTACAAGCGTGAGTTAAATTTTAGTTTAGAAATAAAACATTGTTACATAACAATCGTGATTTATTATTCTTAATATCATTTTGTATACAATAATTTGACATTTTTTTAATAATTGACATAATTATCATTTCATTCATACGAGCAATATGAAAAAAAGATCTACAAAAATGTTTGCAGCGCGCACACAACTCTACATCACTCTCTTCTCGCACAGACAATCTGTAAAAAAAACAAATTAAAAAAATTACGCTTGCTTAGTTTATCACACATAATATTAACAACTTTAATCCATGATTTATAAAATTTACTATTGAACGTTATAGAGTTTGTATGGAAATATTTCTAACATCCATTTTATAACAGAGTATAGTTTCTAGTAGAGGAAATTTATTTCCGACCCACTTCGATAACATTTGTCACTGAGATGTCCACACTGGAATATCACTGTTGTCATGGAAACGAGCAATAAACATAACAATAGTCATGTTGCTTATTTGTATTGCTGAAATAAACATATAACATGTTACGTGCAGATGCTACGCGGACGTGTTGCTGGTGTGCGCGGTCTTGGCCATCAGCTTGGCGACCATCTCCTGGACGCGGCGCATCTCCTCCAGCTGCGCCGTCACCTGCCCCAGCCGCGCCTCGCGCTCCACCACGCTCTTCTCCAGCTGCTTTATCACCTGCACAAATACTACGGCTACATTCTGTCTCTCTATCTACTACAATATCTCATTGTATGCAGGTTATGTACACGTCTGTGCAAATATACGTGTACACACATATGTGTGCAATTGTGTACAATCGTGTTTTACTATGTACAATGCCGTGCAATAGTGTATAGACGTATTCAACTGTGTATAATCATATGAAACCGTGTATTCTGTGTGTAATTGTGTACATGTGCGACAGTACGCGTATACACAACTGTGTGCAATTGGGTACAATCGTGTTCCACTATGTGCAATTGTGTACAGCCATGTGTTATGTTGTGTTCCAGACTTGAGCAATGTACAACAGTGCACAGTGTGAGATGTTCACTTACAGCATCCCTGTGGTCAAGATCCTTGCGCAGTGCGGCCTCAGCAGCAGCAGCCTCCTCCAGCCGGCGCTCGCGTTGTCGCACGCGCTCCTCGAACTTGGACAGAACATTCGCCAGCTCGCTGTTCTTGTGACACTGTGTATATACAAATTACACACTTATGTATTTTCTTCACCTACAGTTAAAATAGCTTTAAAATGTTAGTTCCGAGTGGACAAAATCTAGTGTATAATGTTTGTATGTGTGACCTGTTGTTCGAGTTTCTTCTGCAGCGCCTTGTACTCAGTGTCCGCCTGCTGCAGACGATCCTCCGCCTCCTTCTCCCGCCGCCGCGTCTCCGCTTCCATGTTCTGTTATACATTTTAACACAAATTAAACGAATTCTATATATTTAACGTGTTTAAAAACTATACTTATTGTTTTTAAGAAAAATAATGGACAAGTTTTTGTACAATGGCTTTGTGTACTTAGAACATGGAAATCCGTTCAGTCGTTCCTGAGATATGTTCAAACATCAAACATCAATCAATTTAATCGTTTGCATTTATAATACTAGTAAGATTTAGTTGTCAGAAGGCGACAGTAAGCGTTGTATGAGAGAGTGAGAGTGAGAGTGAGTGAGAGTGAGTGAGACAGACAGCGAGCTGCGCGTTGCACTCCTTCTTGATGTTGTCCTTGACGTGCTCCTTGTCGAGGCGCTCGGCGGCGAGCTTGGCTCTGAACCCGCGCAGCGTGCTCTCCGCGTCCTCCAGCTGCTTGTGCATCTCTTCTATTGTCTTCTTGTGTCTACGTGCAACAAATTTATTAAACTTTAATAAGAACATTGTATATAACGTTAAGAGAAAGAATATTTACTGAAAATATATAAATGAAAAAAGATTAATGCATCGGCCGGGAATCGAACCCGGGCCGCCCGCGTGGCAGGCGAGCATTCTACCACTGAACCACCGATGCTTATAGCGAGGTCATCAAATTCATGATATAACTCTTTTCAAATATCTTAGCGACTCATGGGGTAGCAATAACATTATACATAAATAACAAAAAAAATAATACTTTTCATTCTGCATCTGCGTGGTGTAGAGGACGTCCTGCTGCGAGGAGTTGGTGGCCTGCAGCAGCGCCAGCGCGTGCTGCAGCGACGCCATGTGCTCCGTCGCGCCCTTTGTCACGTTCACAAAAATTATACATACAATTATTTCATTAAATTGTATTACCGCATTATTTCACATAATTTAATTTCAGCGCCATCTGTTATGGAATATTTACAATAAAACCGTAAATCAAAATTGTTTTTCTGATATGATTATAGGTGGCGCTAAATTTTACTATCTCCAATTATTTGTATTGTTCAAAATTGTAAATAAGTAAGTTTAAGTAGTGCGTCACCTGCAGCGCGACCGTGTGCGAGTGCAGCCGCTGCTCCAAACACGACATTTTGTATCCGTACAGTTCCATCACGCTGGATGTCGCTATGTCTGATATCTAAAACATACAGTATCAAATAAGAAAATGTATTAAAAATCTTACTAATGTTATAAATACATGTTTGGATGGATGGATGTTTGTTAAAAGGTATCTCAAGAACGGTTATACAAACTCGCTGGAATTTGGCATAGACGTAAAACATAGCCTGGAAGAAACCGCGGGCAACTAATTGAGTTTTTTTTTAATTCCGCGTGAACGGAGTCGCAGGCTGCTGCTAGTTAAGTATTTATAAATATAAGAGAATAAAATACCTTGTCGTTCCGTAGCGCGTCATTAAGTTTATCAACGAGTGCATCAATGGCATGCTCCTGTGCAGGCGACAGTCGCTGTGCCCACGCCGCCTCGCCCTCCTCGCGCGCCCCGCCCACTGACACACACGTCACGCCCTCCGTCACGCACGACACGCCCTCAGACATACACGACAAGCTCGCCGCGCCCTCCCCGAACACCTTACAATCAAAAACATTCAATATTTTTATGATCCTTCGAGTCATATAAAACTTATTTTTATTTCGAATCCATTGAGTTATCACCCAATGTGTTTATAGATTTTCTAATTATATATGTACATTATACTGTTTGTATCTGTGTCGTCTGTGAACAAATTCAAAGATATGTGTGAAGTTAACTCGCACTGGGCTATATTAACTTAGTTGGTTTGACAAATATAAGTTAGTTACCTGGTTCATCTGATCAACAGGAAAGTAGTGATGCTTTACCAGCTGGAGCACTTGCTTACGTCGCTGTGTGTTGCCGCTGGTCAGACCTGCGCACAGCAACTTGCGTACCTTTACAGGTACAGTATATTTTACTAATATTATAAATGCGAATGTTTCTATGGATGTTTGTTTAAAGGTATCTCCGGCTGAATGGAATGAAATTTGGCATATGTGTCAGTCTGAATGATGAAGTCGCAGGATACATACAGTTTTTTTCACAGGAACTTTGTTGTGAGAAATAATTGTGATACATCGATGTACGATATGTCGGAGTCTGTGTACCTGGTGGTGTGCCAGCAGCCTGCAGAGCGCGGCCTCCCAGCGCGGGTCGAGCGGCGCCAGCGAGAGCGCGGTGCGGCACGACACCACCACCGCCTGCTGACCTCCCTCCGCGCCCACCACACCGCTCTGCACCACACAACACACACCACACACATCTCTCAACACAAACTTTCATAATAACTACTAAAATACACACAAATAAGGGAAAAGTAAAACAAAATGTGTTATTTAATATTTAAAGACAGTGTAAAAAATAATACAAACCACGAGTCTATACATGTCGTTTATTCTTGTAAAAAAATCTGTACCTGCATTACTCCCTTACATTCGCTTCCTCACCAAAACTAGTTCCTCATCCCTTTCTTTAGTTATATAAGGGTAATGAAGGGAAGAGAACTAGAATAAATCTCCAGCACATACAGACAAATACTTTGTAATTGACACATGTATTTTGTTTCATTATAACCCATACAACGAAAAAAGTTCTACCTCTTTAGATATAACTGTTTTCGTGTGATATATTAAATGACCTGTGCGGTGTGATGCAGCACGCTGTACAGTGTGTCCTCGAAGCTGTCCGGTGTCACCTCCTTCAGCACGCTCTGCTGCGTCTCACAGGACTCGCACAGCGCGCCCACCACCACCAGCTGACACATGTACATAGACCATACGTTCATTGAAACAACTCTAAATCATTGGAACATTTAAATGTGATAGATAAAATGTGACTGACCCACTGCAGGCCGACCTTGCCGGGCTCGAGCGCGGGCGGCACGAGCAGCGCCGGCAGACCCTGGTTCATCACTGCCAGCAGGCTCGGCGGCAACCGGCCCTCGTCTCAAATGTCAACATAACTTATCACTTACAAAATAAATTCAAATCTTACTAATATTATAAATATGAACGTTTGGATGGATTAATGTTTATTCTCTCGCTGAAAGGTATAGATGTAGAACATAGTCTGGAAGAACACATAGACTATTAACTAAGTTTTCTTACAACCTCGTGCGGACAAAGATGTAGGCATAAGCTAATCTAAAAAATAATGATTAATACCTCTGTATTGCGTTACTATAGCGGCAAACAGTTCCAATGCGTGCGGCAAACAGAGTCGGCTGGCCTTCATGCACAGCGCAGCCAGCGCGCCGTGCTGCGCCCGCACTGAGTACAACTCTGAAAGTGTTAACACACATTCAAATAACACTGACTTCACCCTTATGACACTCAGGGAAAAAAGTACGATTCGATTGACACCTCATACGTGAAAATCAATTGAATAGTTTACGGTATAGAAGGTAACAAAGTTTTACGTTAGGATCTCAATAAGTGAGAGTCCAAAGAACCAAGATTTTTAGCCTCTTAAGTGTTTCTCGCTTAAGAGAGAAACACTTTGGAGAGAAACCTATATAAGATTTTCTTATAAAGGTTTCTTGCTTATTCAGGTTTAAGTTGAATGTATGAGTAGAGTAATCGAGAAATTACAATCATAACACTTGTATTGCATAGTGTTTTCTCTATTTTTTTTCATATAAATGAGAAGGACAAGTGCTTCAACAGTGTAAATGGATGTGTAGTTTGTTTATGATTAGGGTTTTGTATTGAAACCAGGTTTAAATATGCTTACCCAAGCTAACGAGGACAGTAAGGAACTTTAGTATATTCTGCAGACAGGTGACTGCAGACTCCGGCTCTGCTGTGTCGTCAGCTGCTGTCACGCACAAGCCCTCTGTGTCCTGAAACATGTCACCATGGGTTTACACTAAAGAAACATTCACATATAGGTCATATACTCTTTATATTATGTGTATTCTTACCTTTATAGCATCCTGTAATGGTCCATTGAAATTTGGGTAGGTAGAGACATAATTCCGTAGATTGGGGTCCGAGCAGAGGTCATTTATAAATGTGTAGGCGTGCAATAACTGTGTTGCATCTCTTTCACTGCAAATATAAATACAAACTTAACTTACCGACCATTTACTGTAAATATTTTAACACAAAGCTGTCCCAGTGGAAAAAGGTTTTAAGCTAGTCGCTTAAATAACGAAGGTTAGGTTTTGGAGATACCTTCTAACATCCATCCATCTATTAATACATTTGCATTTATAATATTAGCAAGATGATGGTATACTGACATGATGGCATTGCGAAATGTTCGCATGGTGCAGCATAGATAGCTGTGTACGTCCGCCTGGCGTGTTGATGCAGCTCCTCGTGTGGCACCCGACAGGCACAGTAGCAGTCTGCACACCTCCACACCACCATAACCACCATCCTGACACAGACATGTCAATGTAATAGCAGAAATCTATACCTTCCATAATTTCATGACTAGCAATCAAGGAAAACAGTCTGCTTTATCATCATACATCCTCACTGAGGGACTGGAAGCCTATCCAAAGTTAGGAGAGATTGGGCCATAGTCGGCCACGTTGGCTCACTGCGGGTTAACTTCACACATTGCTTTGATCTTCACAAATATGTGGAGATTGACAATGTTTTTGTTAACGTAAGAATGTTGGATAAATGTAGTCACCTTTTATATTTAGTAAATACAGTTTTCAAATGATAATACCTTTAAATTAATTAGGTGTACAACGAACTCCTTAGTATCAACAGTCCTCATTAACGCATATATAGCTGGTAGATTTGAGTAACACACATTTACAAGGACAGTCAAGGATTTGTGTCCGATTGCACGATGCTGTGGTTCCGTCATAGGCTGTAGGATCCAGTCAGTCAATTGTTTCATAAGTCCTGATAAATATGATTCCTGCCAACTGATTTTGATACCATAGGAGATGTCCTGGAATATTGTTTACAATTAGATTACTTTCTTTTATAATATAATATAATGGTTGAAGTAATAAATGTTGTATAACTTTATAATTTTTTATGGCAATACAAAATTACAAAGTTATACCAATTTTTTTATTGGTTTAGAGAAATAAATTACCTGCATAACTGATAAAAGCTTAATTTTCTTGTCATTTGATATAACATTACATAGTAGGCGAGCAAGAATTGGCATAAACCTGAAAAAAAAATGAATAAATCAATATGTTTGTATGCTGTAATAAGATTAAATAGCCTAATGATTGATACATCAATGCTTTTCTTTCTTGACAGTAAGTTTATACAAAAAACATAGTTAACTAACTTATAAGTGTGTGTGAGGGCGTGCTTCGCACTCGGCTCTATGGCGGCGCGCGCTAGCACCGCTACCCCGGCCCAGTGCGGCCCTCGTCCATCGCTCATTACTCTCCATAGAGAACTGAAAAATGCACACACTTCTGAACGCCCAGGTGAAAATATCGACAGATCACACGACGACGTTATTAGCTGTAACAAATTACAATTAAAATCAATTAAAAACTCCCAAAAACACCACGATACAATGTTATGTTTACTTTTATTATTAAAAGTTTTAAAGATTACTAATATATACTTACACCTAAGTACCGAGTCATTAAATTTATAGCATTTTCACTATGAGTTGCCTCGAATTCACGAGCAGCATTCACAAAAGCTTTTAAATTGGCAAACTTAGCAGCATCCGCCGCATTCCCAGTCCCACTGTTCCAATTTTCAACTCCGTCTACTTCCATGACACAATATGTGAAATGATGTTATTATTTGAAATTACGCAAACATATCAAATACCGAATGCCATCCAAACGGCGAAAATATTTACAAAACTAATAAAATATAAAAGCTATCACGATCTTAAACAATTTAAATTTCAACTGTTTATTGTTTGACTTTTTTATTTTTTTTATTGCTGTGTATGACATCAGTCCGTGACTTTATGCCAGTGTGTAAAGTGTAAATAACATATTAAATGTGCAAGACGAGCGTTTTTAGTGACACACAGGCTATGAGGAATCAAACAACCATGCATAAAAATGTGGCTTAATTTAAAATTTGTGACAAAAAGATTTCTTGCAGACTCTGTATTTTTTTGCATTGTACTAACTTAACTGTACGTAGTAAAACAGTTTTCAGATATTGATAAACTTTTAAATTTTTTTACGTTTTTCACTAACATCAATTTACAATGACTTCTTGTTATAACATGAGAATTGGTTAAATTACTGCTTAGAAAGGAAAATAAATTTGTTTACCATTATCAGCTGTGTTTTACGTCAGTTCAATTTGTGTCAATGTCATTCTCAAAAACACTTCTAAAAAAGGTTATTAAGTGAATTTTTCTTCCAAAACTAAAAGTTAACTTCTTTATTTACAAGCGTATACAAGGAAAAATATGGCGCTACCACGTGCACAGCCAGCAGAAGTATTACGAGCTTGGCAAAAGGATGATTTTTATGAGAAACAACTCGCCGGATCATTGGGACGAATAATGCCTTCTCAGCATGCACCAAGAGCTGTTCCGATAGCTTCCCTTCTTTATAAATCTTGTACAACTCTCAAAGATCTCCAAACACTAGGCGAGGAATACTCAGGAATAGTTCAAGTTGACGAAACCTATCACAAATTACCAACATTCAGCAATCGTTTGCTTAGCATCCTATTATCAGCATTCGGTGAAAATATAACTCGAAGATTACTGCGACATATTGAAAAGAACGTAGAACTCACCGCAACTTTAAGACCAGGAATACAAAACAGTATTTTAATTGTTATCAAAACATTAAGTGAGATAGTTCCTCAAATTGAAAGTGTACACAGAGCACTATCGTATATTCATGGTGGACCTTTACAGATTGGAAAATTAGTAACTGGGATTGATTATGTACATGTTAGGCCTGCAGCAGCAGCATATTATGCTCATTTAAGGTTGCTAGGATTAGTTACATTGTTGCATGCATTTATTTCAAGCGGGAAATGTTTGTATGATGCTAAAAAGAACATGGAACAATTATCAAACTTTGCTAATGAGGTAGACAGTAACACGACATGTGTGGCATGTTTGGAAGAGATACTGCAGCCTTGTGTATTGCATTGTGGACATGTGTTCTGTTTGCAATGTTGTTATGGGCCTTTGGAAAGTTGTCCCTTGTGCCGCTCACCTTTTACCAAGAATACAGTTGTACCACTTATGAATTATTACCCTGGAGAACTATAGTATAATAATAAAACTTACTAATATTATGAATGCAAAAGTTTAGATGGATGGTTTGTTAGAAGGTATGTCCAGAACAGTTTAACAGATCTTTGTGTAATTTGGCATAGATGTAGAAAACAATTTGGTAAATCACATAGTATACTAATTAAGCGTTTTTTTTAAATCCGCCCACACCAAGTCTTAGGTATAAACAATGAGAAATTGGAAGATAATATTTTACACAATTTCGAAGATATGCCATTCCAAAATTAATTATTACTCTATGTTTTTCCCTGACTATGCCATCTTTACCAAATTTAATTGAAAACCTATGAGTCATTCTAGAGAAATCTTCTAAAAAACACCCACCTATCTAAACTTTCGCATTTATAATATTAAAGTGACATAAGATTGGATGACATTTTCATATTAAAATTGTTAAGTTTATAATTAAAACATTTATGGTGACTGTGATAATAAAACTGTAATTTTTATGAATAATCTTTATTTAACTCCCAATTATCATTAAACATAAGTTAAAATATTTCTTTAAGGAACAGAAAAGTTATAAAGTTGTTAAAATTTACAACCTACTTAATATTAGTCTTCCGAGATTCAGCAATGTTAAGTAAATGCAAAATAAAATGCTATTTATAATATTACATTTATCTTTATAATTTAATAAAATAACATTAGTATTGTAATAATTAATTTCTATTTGAACTTTCATTGATCATATCACATTTCTAAACCAATTTTTATTGAGCAGTTGTTTAGAAAAATAACAATTTGTGTTTTTGTGCTGCAAAGAAATTAGTTATTTGTAATAGAGAGTTACCTCAAAAAGAGATTAATAAATATTTAATATTAAAAAGGCATTTCAATTTTCTTTTATATTATGCAAAAATCTAGCTTGACTATCCAAATTAGAATCTTATTTCAAGGTTTAAACTACCATAGACAATATCGTTGTAGCTAATAGCAACATCTCTGTTTCAAATAAAACAAAAGAAACTAAGTCACAAACCAAAAAAAATACTGCTCATAACAAAATTATAGATAAAAAATACTATTTTTTTTTATAAATTTATAAAGTTACAACAATATAATGAATGGAGACAAAGTTATTCTACGCGTAACAACTCAACATCAAAAATCAAAGTGGAGTTAGGAGGGATGACACCTGGATGGCCTCTAGAGCCATAGGCAAAGTCTGGGGTACATGTTAGTTTCGCTCTTTCTCCAACAGACATCTGTAACAAAAACAACACATTAACACTTTGAATAATACTACACTTTTACTTATTTAAATGATTTGGTAGAGTGTGCCGGTGGCACTGAAAGTGTTGACTTACTTTGGCAAGTCCTTGATCCCACCCTTTGATAACATCACCTTTTCCAAGAGTAAACTTGAAGGGTTGTCCGCGATCCCTCGATGAATCGAATTTCTTCCCATTTTGTAGTGTTCCTGTGTAATGAACTACTACAGTTTGACCAGGCTTAGGATAGCTGGTGCCTGAAATAATAAACAAGTGAATGTGTAACCTGTCAAATTGTATACCCGTAGAAATAATATTCATGGTAGTAAATATTTATTTGCATACCATTTCCAGGAGAAAGAGTTTCTACATCCACACCCATTTTGTGATACTATCAAATTAGGAAAGAAAATTATAGGAAAATTAAAACGAACCAGCCACTTCGAGAAAAGTCAGAATTTTATAGCAAAGTGCAAAGAATAGAGTATGTTTACGTCACTTCTTACTTCTTAGTTACCTATTACCTACATCGAAGAGTTTTTAAAATGATACTCGCGATTTTCAATACAATCGTTTGCTGGTATGTCACGCTAAGTTTTGAAGTTAACTGGTATTCACAAAATTTAATATTTTTTTACATTTACAAAATTGTCTTTTAATATTAACTTTTATGTAATAAAAACACATTTTTAATCTTTGCATCGCTCGATAACTGTCATTGTCAATGTCAAGTTTCAATTTATTTACTCAAAATACTTTACATCTTTGTTGTTGTATTGCATTGTTGTTTTAATTATATTGCTAAAATATAAATGAAGTATTGGAACATTTTAGCCATTCCAAAATAAAATGGTATCCAGTGAAGAGGAATCAGAGATGAAAACGCACGATAATCTAGAATGGGATGTTGATATGGAAATACAGCTATTTTACGCAATGGCTAACCATAAGCCGGTTGGTATAAAGAAACATTTTCATATGGTCGGTATTTGGGAAAAGTTAACTAATTCTATAACTAAAGAAATATCAACACAAGATATTTGGAAACATTTGGACACACTTTACGACATGGCTATGCTTGAGGATACCGAGCCTATACCATTTCCAAATAACGAAGTCGTTTTCAATTTACCGGAACAAGACTTTGGACCACTGATCAAACAAAAATGCAAAGAAGCTATACTTGCTGATGATAGTGATGGAGGTAAGATTGTGATGCTTTTACTTATAGTTTTGAAAACATTTTCAACTAAGCTAAAAAATTGTGCTTGATATGGTTTAAGAAAACAGTTGAATGGAGGATTTGAACCTACAACTTTATTTGTAATGTGTAACTTTAACCATTATACTATTGGAGCTATTTTTTCTCAATTCTAATGACTTATTTGTAAAGTTATAACATTATGAACATATTTGATATACATTGCTAATTTTCCAACAACGGGACAATGATTTAAATATTTTAGAAATGCAGGATGTTACATTTTTCTTATTAATAGGATTTTTCTTAATTTAATTTTTAGATGGCAGAAGCCCATCTCCAAAAACTGCAACATCCAGAAGTAATTCTAGAGGAAATGCAAAAGATGGGACTACAAAAGGTGTGTTTTTATTCTTTACACATTTATTATCTGGTGGTCAGGCACCAGCTAAATGATTTTATTGTACTCAGGTCGAAAGGATAGTTTAAGTGCACTGGCTACTAAGACAAGGAAAGAGAGTGGCAGTTCATACGCATCAACTGATACTCCTAGCATCAAATCCGAGAAGGAATATGGTATGAATATTTGTATGAATGTAAAACAGAGTATAATTACTTTTTTTTAATTGTATGTATTTTTTGTTTGGTGTATGTTAGATAGGAGACGGGATTCAAGAGACTCAAATGCATCTGGTCCTCGTGAAAGTACAACTAGTCGAAAATCAGTACCACAAAGAGATAAAACCACAAAGTCCAAAGTTACTTCGGTAGCAGGTAAAAATAAGTCTATAACATATTATATTTTCTTTGTCCAAATTATTGAATAAAAACGAAACTGGCCAAAAATAATTAATAAAAAAATGAATTTATTACTTTTCTTACATGTTATTTTTTAGTTCTATTTTTTCTTGCACAAATTATAGACTTCTTGCAAACACTGATTTTTGTTTTGTTTAATAATGTATGATTTTATTATCTATGGTTTTCCTCAGCTTGGGATTCCCCTCTTATAGATGAAGACAGCAGCACACGACGAGGTCGGCGACGCGCCAACACCTCTACCCCGCCTGCGACAGTTCCCGCCAAAAGACGGAGAACTTGACATGCACACACTCATTCATATCTACATTTCTTCTGACAAACAGAGCAACGCCCATGGATGGAACATAGAGTTCTCGGGAAAGGGCGGGAAAGAAGAAATCGTACTATGAATGTTTTTTTCTCGTAAACTACGTATGACATTAGTAATATTATTACAATTTAAACATAATGTGTATATGGTATATACAGTGTTGTTTAACTGATTTTAATTTCTAAATGACATGTTTTAGTTAGATTGTAAGTTTACTGTAAATTAAATAAAATTTAAATGTTTCTTGTATGCTGTTTCTTTTTTTGTCTTCAAGTGCAGTACAATACCTACTGTATATAAAAGTTTTCTTTCTATTTTGTTCAGGTATTTCTTTGATTATGATTTCATAAAATTCTTTGGTGCAGATGCCACATCTTTTGATATTTATTTATACTCTATGAACTCTTGTTTATCTGTGGTTTGTGTAATTGAAAAAATGTCAAAGTGACAGCGTTTGAGCGGCGAAGGTTTCCAAACCAAAAAAAATATTGTATATTGTGGCGTTAAAATTATGATACGTTAAAAATTCCAGTTGTTTTATATATAATAGATGATTAAATTATTATGGCGAATCATTATGAAGTGCCCAGTTGGTGAGATTATTCGTTTCTTCACTTCGGGAGGATGATGCCGCCATTTAGTTTTGATTCGTTATTGCATGCTTTTGTTTAATAAATAACTTGTGATTGTTGAATATTCCCTATATAATAACATACGTTTACTGTTTGCAACAATTGCCAACAACTGCATGTTTGAATTGCAAGCCCTCGCCTAAACGATTCTATTTAGCTGCTACTGATAAGTGTTGTCGGTTATTTATGTACCTTTTATAGGGTTATAATAAAATTTGTCTTATTAATGTTTGCATTTTTACTATCGAAGCTATGTAATACATTTTAGTAATAATTTTGTCGAATTTTAAGGTTAACTATAGAGTAATTTTTTTTCCACCATGTAATATTGATTTGTTTTCAGGGCTGGTAAACCTCCAACAGGTTTGCACTTGGATGTGTTAAAAGGAGATAAATTAATACAAAAACTAATGATAGATGAGAAAAAATGTTATTTATTTGGTCGCAATCCACAAATGAATGACTTCTGTATTGATCATGCGAGTTGCTCAAGAGTTCATGCAGCATTTGTTTATCATAAAGACTTGAATCGAGCTTTTCTTGTTGATTTAGGAAGTAGTAAGTAAATCTATATTATATATGTTGGAAAACTTTTAACTAAAAAGTACTACAGTGGTAGAGCCCACTTTAACATCTTCGCACGAATTGGCCAGGCTCGCCCGGTGAAATACTACGACCACGCAGAAGACAGGCGTGAAGTGGAACCAATTCTGCGTTTCGTCTGATGAGTGTGCATCCCGCCTAATTTAGTCCTCTTTCCCTTCCTATACTTTTTCTTATAAGGATGGGAAGTGGAAGTGGACTTTCCGGATGAGAGGATGCATGGACATGTTTTCTTTCTGTGCATCCTCTCCTCCGTCGATTAAAGGTAGTGAACGCATATGCAATTGACATACGCTATGAGCAACGGTCACTTTGCTATTTCAGCGATTTCATGTGGTCGCTCGCTCGTTCGCCACCTTATGATATAAAAAAGTTTCAGAAATAGTATTTAATGTTAAGTACAGTCAAACCTAGATAAGTAATAGTCCAAGGAACCACAATATTTTTTATAGATTTTGTCTATTCCAAGTTATTCCCTTTGCATTTCACCTGTCAGGACTTAACAATGATTCTTGTTTATAAAGGTTTTTCACTTATTAAGGTTTGACTATATGGATGAATACTTGTCCTAAGATTATCTTTTGTCGTTTCACTAATTTACATGCTA